TCTGTCTGTCTGTCTGTCTGTCTGTCTGTCTGTCTGTCTGTCTGTCTATCTATCTATATATATATATCTATCTACCTACCTACCTACCCCCCCTCCCCCCTCTCTCTTGTCTTTCATTTTTGTCTTTTAGTGCACATTGACAAAGTTGGAATGCATGCGTCTTACGAGAGCTGGGTTTTGTAAAAAGCAGTACTCCTCTTGTTGGCCTACACTTGAGTCCAACATGTCATTTTAAATGTCTTTACCACATTACAAGTAGTTCTTTTCAACATACTTTAGTTTTATCTACAAGCACAATTACCGTTACTGAAATATCTAATGTGTATTTAATGTGTGTCCTCATTGTAACCCTGATTTTTGTCCTTTCCCATTTTGAGGACTCTTCCTTATCAAAGTTGACTACCAACGAATACATGCAATTGGTATGTATGAGGTAGTTCTGTTGTCATTTTTGTTATTTTTAGAGCCATTTGCACAGCTTGTGCAACAGTCGCTATCTTTGCCCTCTGCTGCTTGGCTTACTTTTTTGTCTTTTTTTTTTTTTGCAGCAGCTTCCGGTTCATAAAGCAAAGCTTTAACCATGTTTTTTTTTTCTTTTTGTTTAAAAGCTGGACGTCCTGGTATTACCATCAGAAAATTTCTAAACCCAATTTAAAAGTAGATTTCCACACAGTCAAATTTTCTAGCTACTATTGTGCACATTTAGGGTGAATCAACACATCACTACAACTAGTTTTCTATTTTTTACTGAGCTGTGCAGGTCAACAACATGGAGGACTTAGATTTGCATGGGGTAGGCCACCTAACTGACAGGTTCCCGTCCACCCTCTCATCTTCCTCCTTCCTTTAACCATCCTCTTCCCCTCCTTGATACCCACAATTGTGTGTTGATTCCAGTGTCTCTTTTTATTTTTGGACGTCACCTGAATTAGCTGTGCATCAACAATAGCCAAATTGCTTGTTCCATTTTCTCGTCTTTGCCTCTTTGCAGCAGAGAACTCATATTATTGTGAGAGGATGTGGTTAAATTCTGCTGATCTTTGTCTGTTCTGAGGCCAGCGCCCGTTCTCTGTGCGTTCGGTTTGCCATGCTTCATTTCATGTCTGTTTTCTACCCCCAGATTCCAATAATATCTGCAGATCATCTGAGTAGTCACAAGTACTTGACTCAAATGTAGTTCCTCTCAAGAACAGTGAGTTTCTATTTCAGTCGTTGTGTTCTTTTATTTATTACAAGTTGTTGTTGTTTTTCCTGTGTGACTCATGTTAGCTCTGAAATTGAACATTTTATGAGGACAGGACAACGGCGCAGTTGTTAGCGCTGTCGTCTTACAGCGAGAAGAACGCAGGTTCGCCCCCCAGGCTTCCTAGGTGGAGTTTGCATGTTCTCTCTGTGCATGTGTGGGTTTTCTCCGGTTTTCTCCGGTTTCCTCCCACAGAACAAAAAAAACATGCATTTTAGGTTTATTGATAACTCTAAATTGTCCCTAGATGTGAGTGAGGGTGTGAATGTTTGTCTTGTTTGTCTCTGTGTCCCTTCGATGGACACAGGGTGTCCCCCGCCTCTCGCACAGTGAAACTGGAGATAGGCACCAGCCAGTGGTGCAGTCTACATTTTTCTAGTGGGTATACTGTGCTTAGAAACCAAAGTGCACCGGTTAGTACCGGTACAATGTAGTACAATGTAATCCTCAATTTATTTTGATTTTTAAGCGTATTGAACATTTCCAAATTTTTCTGATGCTTATATTTGAATAAATGAACAACAAGCGTTGTACAACAGTTGGCTTTGTATTAAAAACGTGTTATAGGATTTATAAAACAGCATCAAAGCAAAGCGCTGCATACCGATAGATTGTTACGGAAGCGTTTAATTGCCATTTAACGTATCAATGACACGTGCCTAATGATATGTCATGTATAATTTGTGCACTTTTAAGTGGGTATACTGAAATTCTCAAGCTTTTCTAGTGGATTTACTCCATATACCTGAGTATCATGTAGACTACACCACTGGCACCAGCCCCCCATGACCCAGAATGGATGAAGCAGGTTAAAAAAAAATTGATGGATGAACGTTTTATTTAATCCTGGTCCAGACAGTTATGTTTGTATGATGCTTTAAGCTCCTAAACTTATTTTAACTCCCATCATGTCTTACAGATCAAATGAATGTTTGCTGGCACCGTCCAAGCCAAAAGAGTTAAGCCTTTATGTACGTAACCTTCAGAATGTCAAGAAGTGGGGGGAAAAAGGAGGGTGTGCCATCTTTTAGCCGGCCCACAGCAGTGGTCTCATCACACTTGTAAACATCGAGGACACGCCACGTGATCTGTGCCATCTTCCCACATATCGATACCCAGAAGAATTGGCTGTCAAATTCAACGTCCAGCCGAGAGAAGAAGATAAGACGGCGCCGGGGGGGTCAGTGGGGAACGTTCACACGATACCTCTGCGTCTAACTGAATCGTAGCGCTCAGTCATTATCATCACTGCATGTGCAGAGGGTCAAGAGCGCTGTTACATGAGACAAACATCAAGTGCTGGTACGTTAGTAGAGCAAGAGTTTTTTTTTTTTTTTTTACTTTTTTCTGCTTTACTTTTTTTTTTTATTTGATAGCCATATTTCATAGTTTACAAGAGAAACACAAATATGCACCTTGAATTTGATTGAAATCTGAAAGGCACAATAATTTTATTGGATTTTCGTTTTCTTTGCCAAATACAATAGTTGTGTACAGTATTGTGTTTTACGGCGACTAGTGAAACTAGATGTTGAAATGAGGGTCTTGGACATATGAATGTTCTGGGTGAACCAACATACCTGTGTACCTTGAAAGCACAGCCAGGCTAGCTTCTCTCACCTTGTCTTGTGCCATCAAGACCATACAGCTAAATAAAATAAAACAGAGTGTTATCTCAGCAGTGTTATTTGTTTACCGAAGGTAAAGCATTTTTTGTATGGCTCTTTTAATTTTTTTTTGTGTTGATTTGTTTTCAAATTATTCATTGTGAGTGCTTTTTAAAAAAAAAATCTTTTTGTTTGATTGTTCTAAATGAATTTGTTTAACCAAATTAGTTTGACTGTTAAGTTTTTAATCAGAACTGAGGGTTTTTCTAAGGTTTCTCGTACCTCTTTTAATAAACTAGTGTTTTGTTTCAGTCATAAGTTGTGAATCAAGTCCGTCGACTCTAAAAGCTGGTGAAGCAGAGGGTGTGGATGGCGTTACCTTGTTCCCCCTTCTTTTTAAATGGGAGCCGCTCGAACAGTGTGTCTCTAAGAAGCAGTGTTGAGCCGTGTGTCGACGGGAAATTAAAAACGACAGACCCCAAAGGTCTTTTAGGTCATTCAAACCACATGTGCACTTGAATTTGTCCTGTCACCCCGTTTTATTTTTTTCAATCCATCATGAATCAACCCTCGTTTCTTAGCAGAAAAACCAGTCGCCACATGTTCTGGTTTCTTTTTAAATAAAGAAACTGAGGTTTTAATCAGCTTCTGCATCCGACTATAGAAAACCAAAGCACAGTTTTAATTTTCCTCTTAAGTCTTATTCATTTTAGATTTTAAAAACATCTCGTTCGAGGCTTAAACAATTAAGGAAAATGTGTTTATCACCTTGTATTTTTTTCTGTTTTACGACTGTTTCCCTTTTATGTTTTTCAAGACGTGTGTATTTTATCTTAACTGATTGTTATTGTGACTAACGAAGCCTTAGATTACAATGAATGGGTCTGCGCCCGATCAAATGTCTTTTCAATCACCAAGCAGGTAAAATGAGAAAATTAAAAAAATTTAAATAAATAAAAAAAACACCAATGATGTTTTATAGTTCTCACAAACTGCTTTCCATCTTTTATTTTCTCTCTGTAAAAGGATTATTTACATCTTTGAAATTTCATTGAATTTATGTGTTATGTACTACTTAAGGTTTTAAAACTCTTTGAGATAGTAGTTTTTAGATTTTACTTTTTGTTTTGCCTTACTATAATATTACTTGACAACATTCATATAGACATAGATGTTAAGATATTATGACATTCATAACTTTTTCAAACCATATAAACGATAACGTGTTAAATATTCACTTCGTTCATATAGCTGGATGTCTCTCCCGGTTGATCTTATATTGTCAGTTAATTAAACCAACGAGAAACATTTTGATACAAGGAAACGAGATCAACTATGGGTGTGTGAGAAACGTCAAAATCTCCTTGTAAAAAGTCACGTTTGAAAATACTATATTGTGTTGACTTATAGGCTGTCCATGTTTTTAGAGTACAAATTATTTTCTACTGTATCCATTTCAAAGAGTTATGTACTTTCTGTTTAAATATTAAGTTTGCCCTGGATGTCAGGCCAAAACGAGCAGTGAGAGTGATGTTCGGAGCGAGAAAGCGAAGACTTTTCCGCTTGAGGAGGAGTCCGAAATGCTGCAGATCATGAGTTCTAACCTAAGGGACGAAGGTTTACTTTTTGCACTTCTGTATATAGTAAAAATGAACAGAGAGAAAAAAAAAAAGTGTATCATATTGAGATATTATTTTGAATAAGAAAAAAAAAGATCTATAATTATAAGGAATTTTGTTAGATTAATTTAAATTCTTAAATTAGGAGTCCAGCTAAATTTTGCTTGCAAAGAAGGGCACTAGTTTTTTTGGCCAATGCATTCAGAGAAAGCTATGCGCTTTAAGTCTTATTTTCTAGGTGGCTCGTAATGCCAGGGAATGTTGCCGGGGAGTAAAGTCCCCATGTCATGCTAACTCTGCCGCTCATAGGATAACAGACACAGTAAGATCCATGTATCATTTATTGGAATTGGTCTATTCATAATGCTGCTCACCCATGAACCTAATGAAAAATATATAGTTTGATTTGACTGCATGAAAACAAAGGACACTGTAAATATTTCAAGAAAGAGGAAAAACCTTCAGATTACAGAATCCACATGTTTGTTTCAGGTTATACATGCCGTAGATAACATCCACAGTGTGGAGAAATAATACCGTAAAAACAAGTCGTGTTGCTCGAGTGTTTCCGAGCGAACATCATTTAAAGAGTAATATCTTAGCACTTGTCCACCCCAGCTGTTCAGTCCAGATAGTCCCCCCCACTAACTCACAAGCAGTTGCTTCTGCTTTAGCTGTGTGCACTCAGCAGGTGAAGGCCCTTCACACCAAAATGCGGCGAATCCGTCTCTTAAAATGAATGTAAAAAAAAAAGTCAGTGTCGGTATGTTTCTCACTCGAGGCTGCTTTGTATAGCCGCTACAGAACCAAAGCACCATTTTTATCCAAACCGGGCTTTTTAATCTTCTGGCTGCAACCAAGGTCTCTCTCTCTCTTTCTCTCTCTCTCTCTCTCTTCCCTGCTGGGCGCACATGTTCGCTTTGACTGCTTTTTACTTGGAAGTGCACCCACCACTTATGTATCTGCTAACAAATGCCACACAATAATGTACTCTTCTGTCTCCAGATTTGTTTAAGCACATTTTACTGTTGCCATTATTGACTCTTGCTGTATGGATGAAAAAAATTAAAAATATGAATAAAGCAATTTGATTTGCTCATGCAACAGTGCCTCTGTGTGTTTTGGTATTTTTAAGACATTAAAGGGAAGTCTTAACTCGTGTATACTTACTAATGAATGGTTTAAAATGTTTGTTTCTCTCTTCATTGTTATAGGATGAAATATCAGTACCACTCTGACAAAATCTTGACGATTTTAGGAGAATGCTTGAGCCCATTTACATTTTTTTTGGTTTGAAAACAGTAGCTTACCTGTTATATAT